CTAATTATTTGTAGTTGTACAATTATGATATTGATTTTTAATTAAAATCAATTTTTTAAGAATTTGTGTTGAGTAGATTCATTATATTTAATACATTGATAAGGAAATATTTATATACAATAACATTACACAAAGCTCATTATAAACAACTAATTGGTCTTTAATTAAGTATTTTTAAATTAATCTATGGTATTGTTTTTAATTTCGAATTAAAAGTGTAATTTAGGTCTATCTTTTGTACATGCAGGTAGTTAAAAAAAAAATTAAAATATTTAAAATATTTTTGACCTGTAAGAAATTTTCATCTGTTTTTAATTTTATAAAATATTTTTATACCTAAAAAATGTTTTATTTCTGTTTAAAAGCAATTTTCTTAATAGAAAAAATGTTGCTTAAAACTTTAAGTTTTAATATAGAATTTAACTTTTACTGCTACTTTGGTGACTGTTAATTTATCTCTTGCGACTTAGTTGATTCAGATTTAAAAATTTAAGGATGTTACTCAACCAGGAATTTTTAATAGATATTCATAAACTGCAGTATTTATCATTATATTATGATATTTATTTTTTACAGTTTTATTTGATTTATTATAGGTTTGTACGTTCATGAATCAGATATAGCGAGTGTTTAATACTTAATTGCTGGAAATCAAACTATTCTGAGTTTAATGTATATAGGACTTTATTGCTAACAATAAAAGTTTTTAATAAATATTTTAAAATATAAATTTTATACTGTTCATTTTTCCAAATATTTAATAGAGAACAAAAATATAAAAAGTTTTAAGTGTATAATAATAATAATAATAATAATAATAATAATAATAGTAGTAGTAAAAAGACTTTACTATATACTACAAATATTAACTGTGATATAATTTGAATTTATTAAAAATAATAATACATTTGTATATTTTATTATATTAATATGATAATATACAGAAATAAAACTTAAAAAAAACCAAAAAATAAATAAATAATGAATGATATTTAATTATAAATGAATTATAAATTATTCTAACATGTATTACATTTTTATGACTGGTGTATTATTTTTATATATTCCTATATATTATGGTTAGGTTTTTGAATAGTGTATTTTATTATAAATAAAATGGTAATCAATCACATTTTTATTTTAAAATCAATTCGTTTGAATGTGAGTGTTTAGTTTACATAAAAAATCTATATAAATAAATGTATATTATACTGAACATTTAATTTTAATAAAATTTCAAAATGTTCTTAATATGTTAATATTTAAAAACTTCAATAGATTTTATTTTTAAAAATAAACAGGATTTATTAAATGTTGACTATTATAAAACTGAATGGAGAATGGATATTAAAAAAAAAAAAAAAAAAAAAATACAGTGGTTTTTCTTAAATGAGTGAAATACAATTTAGAAGAACTACATTTTATAAACGACTTTGATTTATTTTCGTTTAAATTCTCACCAAACCAATAATCAAATAGCAATCTAAAAACTACATGTAATTTAATTAAATAATGTGCACTTCAAAAACTATTTATTCAATAATATCAATCATATTTTATACATTATTTTAAAATGACAGTGTGTTGTAATATACCAAAACAACGTGTTTTGTATCAATCGTACTATTGCATTACTGTTGAATCGGATTTTAGGGTATTATAGCTGGTTCTCGTACGTTTAATTAATTGAATTTAAAAGTCTTATTTATTTATAACTCTTTCTACAACTCATTTATTATACCAGTATATCGAGCAAATAAATACAGTTTTTAGATTTTAACTGTTTTAGAATATTTATTTGTTTATTTTTTTAAAAACTTAACGTTTTTTGATTCTTAAAGATGTTTAAAAGCAAAATTCTAATATTATCTTTATTACCTAATAAGAAATTGTATTTAAAACAGCGTGTCTTTTTGATTTATTTAGTTATTTTAAAAATATTCATACAATTTTAGTTTTTAGAATAACAGTACGCAAAATGCATATACATATATATATAAATATATAATAGATTGATAGAGCTTAACAGGAGAAAGAGATAATTTTTATCCAAAACATACTTAGTAATAATATCTACACTGTGGCCAAGACTACTCATTCTTTAGTCCATAACCTCAGTTTATTCTTAGTTAAATGAGCAAATGTTGTTAAATATTGCTTAAAATTTGGCTAATTTCTAAATTGTCCTTAAGAATATTATCAACATTTGGCACAGATTGCCAAATAAAACTTTTAGTTTTTCAGTGTCCGAATTTGTTTCATGAAGCATTAAAAAGATAACGCAATAATGTAGATATCCTTACTTTAATAGGCTGACTTTATTTCTGTTAAATGATCCTTAAATCAACGTGTCCGGAGTTTTTTTCAGATACTCTAGTTAAAAATTAATTATTTTTTTCACTTTTTATAGTTAGAATTTTAAATTTCAAAATTCAAAAAAGTCAGAAAATAAATAACTGAGAATAAGAATAACCAGATGAATGTACTTATGTAAATATGCACAACATTATAGCTAATACTTAAGTAACATATTATAACATGTTACTTAAGTGTTGGGTTGAAAAACTATCGTGTATTCAAATAACCCAACAAATACAGACACACAAATATATAACAGTAAAAACAATACAGTAAAATTAAAGATCCTTTTGTTATCCTCATCACTGGATGTATAAAATTAGTATTAATTATGCAAAAAAGTCAGATTTCTTGAACTTCTAAGATTAACTAATGTATGTAGACTTAAAGATTCAAGCACTGAAGTACAGTTGTTGGGTTAACAATCAATATATAAAATATATATAAAAAATTTAAAAATTTAAACGCTGCTTACATTTATTTTAAGGTGAAGATTATCTTTAATTGTATGAAAGATTGAGAAAACTAAATTATTAGAGAGACCATAAATTAACTGAACAAAAGAAGAGTTAAGTACTTTGAGATAATAGTTTAACTTGAAGTTTATACTTATACACTTCATAAATTCTAGAGTTTTTAAGGAACTACAATTAATATTATCAAATTTTGAACCAAACGTTTTGCGTATTGTAAGGTTTACATCGATTATAAATTTAATTAACTTATTAGCCCTAGAAAAAGTTACTGAGAAACATTTAGAAAAAATAAAAAAAATAATACAAACATAAAAAACCATACGATTATCAAACTTAGGTATTTCCAGAGGAGTAGGCTATCAAGCATTTAATGAAATTCTCGAAATTATTTAATTGTTATGCCAAAATTAACAGCTAATAGTTGTGAGTAACTTTAATGATGTTGTTAATGAACAAAGTATGGATAAGAGGATAAATACGTCTACTGCAGGGCACGCCAGACTAAATATCTACAATATCAAATTTTAAGTTACTCGTTGTAATGAATTATTCCCTATCATTGAGATAAGATGAAAACAAAGTAATCAGAAGATCGCCAAAATCAGACTTTCAAAGGACCTTTAATAAAGCGACCTAACTAATACAAATTAATGCTTTGGTAAAATAAACATAAATTATGGTTTTTTTAAGAACGTGTATAGAAAGTTCCTAAAATATAAGATTAAAACATTGTATATTAATTGACATAATATTATTTGAGTTATACGCGATATATTTTTTATTAGAAGCATTTAAAGATGTGTATTTTAATTATAAGAGATGTCTACATTTTTCAGAAATTATATAGATAGTTTTTTTTTTATTTAGTTTATAAGTATATTAATTTTTAATATTTGTTTTAAAAAGAGTGCAATAGCATCTCTATTATTGAAAAAAAAAAATTAAAAATATTTGTCACAATATTGCTTGTTGGTGATAGTCTGTCATTTGCTACATAGAAATTCATTTTACACGTATATGACTTATGTTAAAATATAACACACTTTGAGTACGACTGGCCTCACGACCGAGATCGATCTTTTTACACTTTGCATGTGGTTTCATCAACGAAATTACATCTCGGGTAAAATGGTAATATTTCTAAGTTGTCTACCAAATTGTAATGGACAGGATTGATAGTGCTTTTTCCAGACTGTTCGTATAGATAACTTATACTAATATTATTTATCATGTTATAGTTGAATACGCATTAGTATAAGATATTAACGTTTTATCAGAGATATATTATTATCGTAATGCGTTTCGGATGTATAATAAAACATTTTTTCGAACGATGTAGGTACTTCTTTCATTCAAACAATAAAACGCGTAAAGTTATTAATAATGATATCATTTGTTTTAAACTAAGTAGATAATATGAAAAAAAAACTTTTTTATGAATTTTTACATAATTTGATTATTTATATTTTATTTCTTTTTAATATCACTTTAATAATAATATTAGTTATATTAAATTATAAGCAAGTAGGTATATAAAAATAAAAACAATAGAAATGATTACTTTTACAGAAATCTATTTTTAAGAATATGATTAAATACATGTAAAATATTACAATAATAGGTAATAATTAAAATATTACTTCTTTATAATATGTTTATAATAAAAATATAGGTAATTTTTGACGAAGTTTAAAATGTTTTTCAATGACTATGTTACTTTTGTTTTTCTTATATCATTTAAAATAAAACATTAAAAAATGCTTGAATATATTATGTTAAAAATATTATCACAGTATATAATCAAGCACACGTACCGTAAATAAAGCATTTATAATTTTAAAATTGTCTCACATAACTTTAAATATTGGTTAATAATGAAAATTAAAATAACTTAGATAATTCAATAAAAAGTAATAATGTATTATAAGATATGGATATAAATAAAAATGAGTCCATTATTTTTTCAAAAAATAAATAGCTGAACCAATAAATGCTACGATTTAGTTAGTTTAAAATGCATAATCATTGATGTTTGCTATATTTGAAAAAAGTATAATTTTATTTACCATATACATATATATTATATAGATAAAATATATGTTTAACAAATAATTGTATAACTGTACACGTTTAAAGCTGTTATTTACTTTCAATGTTATTTTTCAGGAAATTTCTGTTGAATCAATTAGTGCTTTAACTTGAATAACTATTCAAGTGCAGTCAACATACAAAGCAGCTAATTATGTAGAAATTTAACCATCATTAAGTAAGTGTAAAAAATATGTCTTACGTAATTACTTAAAATCTGATTTTTAATGTTTAAAGTATTTTTTAACGATTAATAAGTGATTTTCTGTTTACGTAAAGTTACCTGTTTAAAATAATATAAATTAAACTATATGCATTTTAAGAATTGATTGAATCATCATCAATCACAACTGAATTATAAAAAAAAATGCGCATACAAAATCGTAACATTAATATATTCCTATGTTTAACTTTATTTAGAAAAATAAAATAAAATAAATTAATAATTTTATTAGAACATCAGTTATTGATGTTTTTGAAATTATTGCATAATTTTTATAATAATGAATGTATTTATAATATATATATTTTTTTTCATAGAATAAAAAATAATTGTATTAATATTTTATAATTTTTAATAAAATAAGTAATACAAAAATATATTATATATGTCACCACACGAAAAAGTAGTATAATTTGTTTGAATTTGAATAAACAAAAATTAGTTTTTTTCTTAGATGATAAAAACAACATAAATATTATCCAAACATATTGACATCGATGAAGATACTTATAATTTAAAACTTAGATTATAAGTATACACATAATGTGCGCTTAAAATTCTGTACGTAGGTTACAACAATATCTGAACACATTCATAATTTTATATGAATTTATGCCAATTAAATATATATATAATATACATGAATACTTTTTTACTGAAAGTTTGGGAATTATTATTCTATAAAATTACCTATTAAATTATAAATATTTCTAATTTAAACTCTGATGAAGATAGAAATACATTGTGGTATAATAAAAACGCTTTATATGGGATTATTTTTTTAAATAAAATTAAAAAAATATATAATCCTTAGTCTATTGCTTACAATTCAAATTTTCATAAAAAGTCAATATCCGTATGCTTGTAAATACTAGACTTAAAAATAATTTGATCAATATCAACAAAAATTTTAGAGATTGTTCTTAGAGATACCAGAAAAGTTTAGAATATAGTTTATATTACTTTCAAAAGCATAGAAAGTAGGTGGATCGCACATGTCGGTCGAATTAGTTCACAAAGTGAGTTACATCGTTTCTAAATATTTCCCATGAACTATAAACACTTAAACCGAAATAATCTGATACAATACTGTATTTACGGTTTCTTTATTTTTTTCGAGGTAAAATCGAGTTATACAACTAGTAGTATAATACGTATAATGTCAACTTCAACAAAGTCGACATAAACGTTAGTTAGATACTTAGATAATATTATGATAAACGAAATTTAATATTATTACTATTAGTCAGAGACCTGAACTTTGTAATAAATCTTTGTAGGTAATTTGAATTAACTAAACTGATAACCAACAATTAGTAATATTATGTTGAAGATAACGTGTAGTTATAGAAGTTTTATAAGGTCGTAATTATTTGAATTTGATAAAAAAATAAAAATCGATAATAATTACAATTTTACTGAATGATAAAATTAATTATAACTATTTAATTTCCACATGCAGATATAAAAATTCAGGTTTTTCACTTTTTAAATTGAAATATACAATGTATTTCGTTTAATTTGTATCCAAATAAAAGTGTAACAATCACATTATACATTGTATTAACTTTTATGGAGTGTTTTAAACACATTATGTATCTACTTAATAAAATAATATATATTGGTCATTTATCATAGTTTAAATAATATTTTTAATAATTTTCTGCCGTCATTAAAAATTATTATTTAATGAAATTTCTTATATTCTGAGTTGAGTGATGAATACATTGATTTTACCATGTTTGTTTTTTATGACTGTATATGTTACGGTAAATGATGTTAAATGGAAATTAACGTTATTCACCGGTTATTAACGTTATTTACCAAATATACAGGTAATTATCGTTATAAACTGGATAATCACGTTAATGACCAAATACACAGGTAATTGATGTTATAAATCAGATAAGCGCATGAATCTCAAATACTACAATTTGAAAAATTATGTAAGTACCCAGATATTTTTAAAAATAGAATAAATACATTATTATTTTTTATTTATTTTTACAAGTTTTACTCCCATGACATTTAATATAACATAATTTTTCAGCCCCAAGGTAAGCACAATGCTTATTATTATTACAACTAGTCTTGCAATGACAACGCTGGTACCTTCGAGGGCTCGCAACCGAATTATTACTAGCTACTTCCCTCAGTGTCAACTGTCTACCATCTGCTAATTTTATTACATTGTCCATGTCTAATAGATTTTATTTGCAAACAGCTATTTTTGGCATGTGAAATAATATTTTTAGAAAACTATATTCCGTATTTATAAAATAATAAAACAAATTTTAATTTTAATAGTATATTTTTTCATTAAGAATTAACTTACAGAGTTTGTATAAATCATGTTCAACTTGAGTGACAACTGATAGTATATTTTGCATAGAACCACGAGCTCTATCAACGTTTGGTATAAATACACATACAGTTAAGCCTATTTCAAGCTGAGGAAATTTTTCTTTAGAAAATTTCATCATTTCCTCTCCTTGTTTTTCTAAATTTTTTTTTGAATTTTTACATGCAATACAAATATTTTCTTGACAATCATCAAAAAAATATTTAAAATAATTTTCAAATATTTATATTTTAGTTTTATTTTTGTTATATTTAAAATTCGGAAATTTATCGTTAAATAATTAAAAAATATTTAAGTACCAAGTTCCGAATTTTTTTCTGCGATTTCTATGATTTAATTTCCGATTTTGTCTTCTTTGATGATTGGTTCTTTGGTTATTTTTTTAAATCTTCCGCAATAACCTCTTTTATTTTATAATCAGATCAAAATTTCCCAAATCATACGGTTATTAACGTTATTCACTAGAAAATAACGATAATTCCCACATTCGTAGGTAAATAACGTTAATAACCGGCGAATAACGTTAATTTCTGATATAACATCATTTACCGTAACATATACATATATTAAATAGTTGGTAAAATGTTTCAATTCTCACTTTGAGGATAGTTTTGGATAAAAAATTGGATTTATTTTTTATCTCAAAGAGGTTAAAATTAAAAATTCCATTTTTTTTCAAATAAGAAAAAAAAACAGGAATGTTACATAAACTCAATATTTTTGTTAAAATAATTGTTTTGAAACCCTACTTATCAAATTTTAAACAGTCTTTTCTCAGAATTGTTTTTTATCGAGCACGATAGATACTCATTGAATTAAAATTTAGGTAAATCTATTATAATATAGTGATTTACTCAAAAACGAGTTCTACTTGACACCTAATATATAATAGAGTGGTACCTATTTGACTACCTTTTTTTAATTAACGAGTAATATTAACAATGTTACGATTTGGTGTTTCGGTAGATTCCATTGATTTATGATGTTGATTATAATTAATATAGTTGCTCATTAAATTACTAGCATATATATATATATATATATATATATATATATAATATAATAATACATAACGATTTATTAAATACCTAACAATCGTACAAATATAAGTAATGAATACTAAATATTTTGTCAGTACGCATTTTATTAGATTTGTTTTTCATTTGGATTAAACCATTTGACGTTCTAATGGATAAAAAAAGACAGGTGTCAAGAGTAACTAAAACAATGTTTTAATAGGTTTATCACTATAAGTCCGTTCTAACGGCACTCATTGGATCTTGACTGTCAGAATAGGTTACGTGCTTTAAACGAATGCTGAAAAATGTCTTATGTTCAAATAAAATAATGTAATTTTATTAGTTAAATAATTTCCAAGGTATCTATATGTATACTCCAAGTACATTAATGACTATCTATGCACCAATAAATAATAATGTTAAATCTTTTAGCTTGACTGTTTACATATTTGTATTTTACTAATTTAAAAATATTCTCTGCATTATGTCATTAAATAATAATTTTTATAATTCGTTTTATTTTCCCAGTCAAGTGTACTTGGAAAATCAACCTTTACTCATTATTCTATTACTTGACACTTCTGTGTACTATAGTATTCAGCATATAATGCACAATATATTTAATATTCTTACAATTTGTTTAAAATTTATGTATTTTTGTTTAATGTTATGACGTATATAATGATTAATAGTTACCCTTCATTTATTAATAATAAGTATAGTAAACTGGTATTATTCTATGTTTTATAATGCAGGTCAAATGTTTATAATATAATATACATATTTAAAATTTATGGTGATTAAACATTTTTTCATAGTTAAGGTTCATTACTTATTCCAAACGAAACTATATTGAATGTTAGTTAAGTATACTCAACTATTTTACTATTTCTTTGTGTGTATTAATTTAAAATAAATAATATTCTTATATGTATAACATATACAACCAAACTATTGTTTCAAACAAAAAATACTTAAATTTTATTTTTATTAATCGGGAAAGAACTTTTTGTAATTATATAATTATTTTTTGAGTAATAATGGTTTAAATGAAAAATACCCATGCATTTTAAATATAAAAGTTTTTACAAAATAGTATTTAGACTAAGGTAAATCATTTTTTAAAGTCTTATAATTTACAAGTAACTGCAGTTTATAATTTTATCCACAAGAGGAAAAAACAAAATGTATACATAATAGTTATAATAATGCACTGTATACTGTATAGTAATTAAATTAAATAAACAAAATGTCTGACCAATAGATATATTTCATACTAATCATATGACGGTAATCTAAAATAACGTCTGCTTTAGGTAAATATTACATTAGGGTTTAACAATTATTGACAATTATAAAGTCACGCTAGTAATTAACTCTCTTTATAAAGTATAATTTATCTACTTTACCCTAATTATTTTAACAATGCATTTATTTAAATCCTGTATTATAAATTATTAAATATATTTTAAAATATTTAGGTTTTTTTATAACTTCTATTTAAGGACTGACTGGTGATTGGTGATTATCAACTTTTTTTTTTTTAAATGAGAATAATTTTTGTTTTTATAAAATTTTATGCAGATATCGTTTAATTGTTAAATGTTGATGCATTTAAATTTAAATTCAAACAAACATTATTTTTTTTTTTTTTTAGTTGCATTTAAATTTCTGTACTTAGTATTATAGTTATGGAAGATAATACTATAGAACCTTTTCTGATATTTTATAATTTATGATCTTTTTCTGATTATTATAATAGTATTTACTAGATAACTAGATATGTTAATTATCTAATAACTCGAAAACAATATGAATAGATTTTTGATATAAATTAATCTAAATATTTTGAAAATGTTAATATTCGGGCTTAATAAGGATTCTACACTATTTTGGATAAAAACTGAGGGCTTCATCTATGTTGTTGGGATTATATAACCGAATGGCTGAATTTTTTCAATGGATTATTTTCTCTTTTCGTTTTAATGTGCTCAATTTTTCATATATAAATAAATTGTATATTTATTTTTTTAATAATAAAAATAAAAAAAAATAAAAAAATGTTGCTGTAGTTTGGTTATATTACTTGAAAAATCGAGAGAAAAATTCAAATGTATGTTATTCATTTTGAGATAATATAAAATGATGAAAACTATTTAAAATTCTATGATCATATAAGTGTATTGCATATAATACATTCACACGTAATATAAAAATCGTGAAAAGGAAGAATGTGTTTTATTAAAATGCATATAAAATCGCATCATTTACTCGACCAAATGCTTTATTATCGAAATATATAAGTATATCACACATGCTTTTAAAACAGTTTTTATTTACCTTTTATACACTTGCTTAATAGTTTTCTCATTTTTTATAATACTTTTGTAGTTAATGGCTCAGGCGAAACGATTATCAAATTTGTGATTTGGGTCAATAATATTACACAGATAGAAAATCTGATAATGCCTAAAATGCCAATTACATTTTATCCCTATTTTTTTTTTTAATCATTTACTAAAGTTTAAATTTACTTAAGTACTTATTTTATAATCATAATTGTTTTATATTATTTTATTTTTAAATAATTTATCTGTATTGTTGTAGATACCATATTTTAATTTGTCTCGCTTTGATTTATTTTTTAAATACATAACCTTATGAAATAAAAACTATTATTATTTTAATCATATTTGAGTGATAGTGGCTATAAATATATTGAAACTATGTAAACTGTTAATACCAGCAATTAAAAAAAAAAAACGTTTTTTTTAATTTTCTATTCGGTTGCATGCATATTATTTTATTGTACTTAGACATGAGAGTACTTAAATATTCTGATTTCAATTACATAGAAATTTCATTACTAAAATAAACCTGCACATATTACTTAATAATAGAAACATTTTGGGAGTAAATTAATTAGTTTAACTTATTTGTTAGGTGTCAAAGTGATGATACAATTTAATGCAATATTGTAAACATAGGTATCATAATATGTTATGTTAATGTAGTAATATGTTGATACTAAGTTAATAATAATTGCTGTATTATAATTTAATAATTAATAATATATATGCCTTAACTAACTGGACGTGTAATTACTAAATTTGTGTATTGTAGATTTATTGTGGTTTGAATTTCTATACAACAAATGTTATGGATATATTTAGTTCTTCATAAGTTATTAACTGCTAAGAATCATGTATTTTTCATATTTTTTATTGTGTACGATTTTTGTTTATTTGTATTTATAGACAAAAACTATTGGGATATTTTGAATAAATAAAAGTTATATCAATGAATTCTTCGAAACTCAAATATTAATTAATTGTTCAACTAAAATAGATAACTGTGGTGTGTTTTATATATACATACATAGTTTTAAGTTTTAACTGACAAAAATCGAATTTTTCTTGATTATTTAAATGATTATCGTCAGTTATAAATTATTATATAATTATATAAGAATTAATAAAAATATAACATAAAAATGTGTACACATATATTTAAACAAAAATTAAAAAAACTAAAATTAACTACTTCTGAATATAGTTATATAATGACTATTTTTACGATTAATTATTTTAATTAAAAGTAGATACAAATTATTATACCAATCTTAAAGATATTAGATTTCAAAATTATTTTATAAGTTATTTCATAGCTAGATGAATATTTCGACTTTTCTGTACGTTATACTAAGAATAAATTTCCTAATTTTAAATATTGGTTTTTCTTATAAGTTAAACATATATGTTATATGCCGCACAAATATTTGTTCACATTTTACTATCACAGTGTTATAATATAGATAAATTATCATTTCTCAGAATATTTCTTGATCATATTATGTAATATATACTACATTTTATGAAATAATGTTTAACTATTATTATTTTGAGCAAGTCATGAGAAATTAATAATTATTTACAGTGAAAACAACGATAAATTTATTTTCATGTTAGATAATGAAAATATAATAATCGACTAACTTTTGTTTGTCTTATTATTCAATGAGATTTAGTTTATAAAATAATTTATCAATAAATACTGAATAAAAAGCATAATGAAAATAATGTATATATTATCTTTTCACTTG